GGGTCATTAAAAAGGTCAGTTTTTCAATAGGCAACTTATAACTTAAAAAAATAATTATGTCCTTGTGTGCAAATAGAAATCATTTATGCCTATAAAGAAAACTAGCCCATTTAGAAATATTACATTGAAAATCCCTTGCTTTGTAAAAGAGCACTTGGGAAGGTTTTGCAAAAAAAAAAAAAAAAAAAAGCTTAAAGGCTCATAATTTTGTCCACATCTTTATATAATTATATATTTAAGTTTATCTGGAGCTTGTTTGTTTGGATGAGATGCCTACGATTTATGTGTCTAAAATTTCTTCAAACCACTTTGCAACCTTGGTTGGCACAAAGGATTCACCTTTTCACAAAACACCTGGGGGATAACAGGAACAAACAAAAACCTAACAGTAAACCTGTATTTAGCGCTAACTGAACAATTACCTCTCTACTTTACGGATCTCTTCAGATGCACTTAGATTAGCTAAGGGATTATTATACTTGGTATTGTCCAGGAAACTCTAGTGAGCATGTGTTAACAGCCAAGAAAGCAAAGCCAGTTTAAACAGAAATCTAATCTTTAGGAAATCTCAGGATATGTAGACAATAGCCCGGAGAGAAAAGAAACAGGAAAGGAATCGGGAAATATAGAGAGTTAGTAAAAGTAATGCCAAAGCCAATTTGTGGCCAGCTACAGATAATACATGTCTTTTAAACTCTTGTGGGGCAGTGGGATAAAATCATTTACAAGCCACAACAGTACAACTCATAGCTGTCATTACTAGCAGAAGCTGATATAGATAGATTTTTAAAAATCCAGTGTGATAGTTAATTAGATAGGACAAAATGATTAAACAGGCATACAAAGAAACATAACCTTAGCCTTGTTTATTCATAAAATTACATTTTCCTTCCTCCTCCTCCTCCCCCCTGCTCACCTAACAGCAGTGACTGCCGTGCAAGTTCTGTTGTGCTAGTCTTTGATGCCATAACAGGATGATGACAACAGTGTTGAAAAGCAATCCCTCCCTGATGCGCAGAATACAAATAAGGAGAGAGAAAAGAAAAAGGAAGCTGAGGATAACATCTAATTTCACCAAAATGATGAGAGAGAACCAGTGCATTTAATACCATAGATCTTCAGAGAAAAATTAAGACATAGAAAAAAACAAACAAACAAAAAAGAAAAATCACAACATAATTAAGGTTGACAAAACATCATGTAGAGATTGGGAAGATAATGTTTTGACAAGAACTACTGTTTGATTATAAACTTGAAAAGTCGGATACAAATACAGTCATATGTTTTCAGTACACAATTGTGATTTTGGTCACGAAAACAAATCTTGCTTTATGTATTTGCCATTTTACACAGATGATTCAAAGACATTTCATTAATGCTAAAAATTACACAAGTGACAATGTTATTAAAGTACTAGTTACTGTTTATTGTTTAATAACATGGTTGGATGATTGTAAAACCTGAAAGACTAGGCTTTAAAATCATATTGACCAGCTTGTGTCAAAAGGAAACAGAAAAAAAAAATAATAATAAAGATGATTTATTTCAATCTACACAGCTCCATCAAGATGGAATATGTTTCGATTCCTCTTCTCCTGGTAGAAACCTTTTTCCAAAAATCTGACCAGGGACAAGACAGAAAAGTGAAGGATGCTGCATGCACCTCTATTTGAGTTTTAACCGTGTCTCAAGACCACGACGGAAAAACTTCAGAAATTTATGGTGCACGGGAAAGAAAGAGGGCAGAATAGAAAGGGTAGGGCTAGTGAGTCTTCTTATACTCCTTCTGGTTGCATTACTTTTTGTAATCCTTTACACAAATACAGAAACAAAAATGAGTGGCGCTAGTAAGTGCCACTGGTAATGAGCTTTGTTTTTTCCTTCTTCCATGAATGGGATGCGTTTCCCCCCCCAAGATGACATCAAGGGTCCATCATCAATCGAGAGGTCATGGATTGGCATGAAACATGATTCCCTATGAGTAAGTTGATTTCTTGATCTGTTGCTTGGTTCGCCAGTTTAAACCATCAGTGGAGTCTGGCAGTTTACTGGCCAGTGGATTCATTTGCCAAACAGTTAATTGGTGCCGTGTTGCTCATAGGGTGGTTGGTCTGACCGTGGTTTGGTTTGACCAATGGGACGTCGTTTGACAGCTGGCTAATTTCTGGTCGGGTTGATCGAAGCTTTAGATTGGTTGCATCAGCCGATTCAT